CTCTTCAAGTACACTCTAAAAATCTCCAGTCTTTTCCCAGCTGACCAAAATGTCTGGAGTCTGGGCAAAAAGCGTTACTGCCAAAAGTCGTGAAATAAACGAAACTGCGGGAAAGGGAAGTTAATTAAATACACGGTGCCAATTGACGGATAGCTACAAAATACCGGATAGCTTACCACTGTTAAAAATCGAACATTGCTTCTCAGACATCTACGCTCGATGCAAGAAGGAGCACAGCATTTACTGCGGTGCTGCAAGAAATCTACTGTAAAGTTGTGAGAGCAAGTAGAAAAAAACGTAGGTATGGTTTCCACATGTCAAAATTGCGACATGTACGAGTGTTGGAAAGAGAAAAGAAATTTTGCATCATGTCTTTTTTTTTCTAATGGCGCTTTTTAGAGTGTAACGTGCTTCCAGAGCAAGAAAACACAAGACAGCACAAAAGGAGCAAGAGATCTGCATCTACGCACAGCCATTTCTCGCATTCAGCCCACAGTCGGAACACAGTTTCTCTCCGCGCAATACGCGCACAGTTAACAAAGAAGAACGTGGAGTGGATTAAAACTCTCCTACGCTGGGGTTATTCGTGAGAATGTTCCTAAAACTTCGATTTCAATGAGTCTCGACGTTATTGATATTGTAAATGAATTTTGCTACGCCCAATAACTTAGAAGGTGGCTTAGGAGGGGTCAAATATGTAACGAACCATGATGCAAGGGTAAGACCAGTCCAATTTACCCCCCCCCCCCCCAATCGCATATTATCTAAGTAAATCAGGCATTTCTACCAAGCCTGCTATATTGGCATAGATCTGCATAAGTTGACCAAACAGTTCATGCAGAAAAAAAACGAAGCTACAGAGATAAATAAGTCTCTTATACACTTCATCTTGCCCCATACTCTTGCAGTTGGTGCTTATCTTCTTGCTTTTGCTGTAATGAAGTCGCAAATACATCTATAAGCTTTGTAGATTTCAACATTTTTTGCGGTAATGTTTGCTGTTGACATGGGGTCAGACGTGATGATGGATCACCACTGGTGATTATGATTTAAGGCCGTCTCCCTAAATCGACTCTAAATCATTCCAGTATCGTTTGTGACCTTGATAGCGCATCCCCGAGATGGCTACTGTATTCTGGGTCCCCTTCATGTCGACAAGGTCAAGTTTTTGAAGATATCGTTATCTGACAATCGGAAATAATGCTGCTAGGAACGATGACGCAATTTTCAAAAGTTCGATTAAGTGCATCCTAAGCTAAACGAAGTGTTTCCCCCTTTTCGTGGGCGCACAGCATTCTACGTCTGTGCGAGACAGGTGTTCCGGGAGGCCAGGTGATAGCGATGCAGGGTCAAAGGCTATAACGTTCGCGTGAATCACCTGGCTGTGCGGGGAGAGAACAGTGTTCGGACTTATGCAGCAACATACAGCAACATCGAGGGCAAGGGCGACGACAGAGAATGCACCAAATCCCTTACAATGCCTGAGCACTATTATAAGCGAGTCCCCGCTAACAGCACAAAAGCAAGCGTTCAAGCGTGCTTTGGAACCCAGAGAAAGAACACTCAGCTCTACCCAACTAAGTGACACATGCAAAGCAGCACATACGCAAATGTTAGTCAGTTGAACGTTGCGCAACCAGTACAAGCTGTAATGGTCGCAAAGAGTTATGCGAAATCGTGGTAGAGTTCTCACAATTACGGTAACGAAGCATAGCAACCCCCACCCCAACAAAGTTGTGAAGAAGTGAGCTGCCACAGCGGCTTGTACTAGTTGCGTGTAATAAATGTAAATCAATAAGCCATAAAATATGCTTCCAGTATACCTTATTGATTGATTTGTGAGGTTTAACGTCCCAAAACCATCATATGATTAGGAGAAATGCCGTAGTGGAGGGCTCCAGAAATTTCGTCCACCCGGGGTTCTTTAACGTGCACCTAAATCGGAGCACACGGGCTTAAGACATTTCCGCCTCCATCAGAAATGATTAGATTAGATCCCGCGACCCTGCGGGCCATCCAGTATAACTTAAATTGATGCGACTATTCTATTAGCTGGTAGGCCTTCAGAACGTTTTCTGATCTGTTACTTTCATCTGAATTTCGCTATTTGTGAACCAAGGACACTGTCGATATCCAAACTTATTGACACTCTCAAGAGGAGCAAGAAATACAGATGTCTGTGGTCCTACCAATTATGAACGTTGTCCAATTAAGTTCAAACTACTGAAACCTCGTTAATAACGAACACACCACAAAGCGTTAATAATGTAAAATCAATTATCTGATCGAGAATTTGTACTTCGCAAGTTTCCCTCTACCACACCAAGTTTTTGTGACTCATCGTTGCTTTATCTCAAACTTTACGACAAACTCGGTCTGCCTTACGACTAGAATGTTTTCATGCACACTATTGCAGACTCCTAACATGCAAGAATGCCGCGAATACTTTCGAATGTCGGTAACTACAGATTTTTTTTTCCTTACGAGATAAGGGGTATACCTCGCTTCTAATTCGTCCTGCCAATTATTTAGTATTTTTTATTTTAAACTTGCACGTAAAATTATCAGAAATCTCATTTGCCGACCACTTGGTTACATTTAACCTGAAAGCACTCGGAAGCATGTGTCCAAATTGCTCGAAGCAATGCATGTTTTATTGAACACTTTTTTATGCAACCTTACTCAATCAAAACAGTGCGAATGTCCCATAATGACCACACCGCTTGTTACCTTTTGAAATGTTGCAGTCTTTCTTAAGGGCATAGCATTCTGATGTAAGATGCTGATGTCAGATTACGAGCATTTCCAATTCCCTATTTTCTAGTTTATCTTCCTCTCACGTACAGACTAGCTGAAGGTACTTCATGAGAAAACACCACGATAAGTGTAAAATCAAGCCCTCATCGCCGTAGAAGTCAGCGTGTTGCAGCCAAAATGAGATGCGCAGTGCAGCCATAAAGTGACAAGAAAGTGTGACAGACAGTGTGCAAGACGAACGTTAGACAAGCATGCGACAGAATGCAAGGCATGCGGTAGAAGTGTCGCAACACCTCGGCAGGACCCGAGAAAGCGTTGTGTCATAAACTTGCTCAAAAGCAGAGCCAACTTGGAGATAACACACAGGAAAAGCATAATTGCTAGTAATCAACACACGGAGTTGACTTCAACAATAAAAAAAAACCAATGCGTTTATAAGTGGAGCTCACGAGACTTATTTAGAATACACAGATCATATATACCTACACACATCATATATACCTTAAGCTACCAGATCATATATACTTATACGCAGATATATGTGAATACACAGATCATATATACCTTAAGCTACCTTAAGGTAGCTTAAGGTAAGCTTACAGCATGATATATTTAATACCTTCAGAAAGTAACATTGCTTTGCTACTAAGCAACTTGTACAAAGCATTGAATATTCAAGTAAATATTTCAAGGTAACCTTTCATGGCCACTTTCAACCCAAGGTAATAAAAATGTACAAAATCACGACGACGATTATATGTGGGGTTTAACGTATTATACCACGATATAATTATGAGAGACGCCTTGTGGAGGGCTCCAGAAATGTCGACCACCTGGGGTTCTTTCATGTGCACCCAAATCTGATCACACGGTCCCATCGCATTTTCGCCTCCACCAAAAATGCAGCCGCCGCAGCCGGGATTCCGATCCCGTGATCTGCGATACAGCAGCCGATTAATATATCTACTAATGATGATTGATATGTGGGGTTTAACGTCCCAAAACCACCGTATGATCATGAGAGACGCCGTTAGTGGAGGGTTACAGAAATTTAAACCATCCGGGGTTCTTTAACGTGCACCCAAATCTGAGCACACGGGCCTACAGCTATTTTCGCCTCCATCGAAAATGAGTACCTCAGCTACTAGACCATACGACGTGGCAATGTACAAAATTGTAAAAGTATAAGTAGATAGGAATAACATAGGCAATGCTGCTATCTTGTTGTACAGAACCATAAAAATTTAGCATTCTACTGAAGTTCCCTCTTATTAAAAAAGGGATTACGGGATACGTTTCTCAAGTACAATGATTGAAAAAAATCCCCTCCCACTGGTGTGGCCTCACATTATTCATTCCACGATTAAGCCTGAACACTAGTTAAATTTAAGTACGGCATGGCACATATGTGACGTAATGCTTGCCTGTGTAGCAAGTAAAATGTGTAAAGCCTGTGTAGCATAGTAAAACGTAAAGATATGCAAATATGCCGAGTGACACTACATCAGACAAATGAGCGACTCGGAAGGATAAATAATCTTACAGTCATCTTGTTCTACCGTCAGAGACGTACACCTGCCTAAAACACGTGTAGGATTGTTCGCGAGTACTAATCAGGTGGACCGTGGTCATGCGGCTAATTGTCGATACTCCATGAAAAATTTGAGATTCTGTATCAGTGTATCCTCTCCACCTAGGTCTGGTCGAGATTTGTCTTTAAGCCCCGAGTGGCCCTTGAGTTGAATGAAAACCTCACATTTTTATCGGAACTTTGCCTGTATTGAACTAGTTTTACGTGTTATCAAGAAACGTCATTTTCTAACGCAGATTGGTTTCTGCGTGCTGCCCCTAGCCCGCAGCACACATTCGACTACTTACTAAGCCTACTTACGATTACGACTACGCGACAACTGTACTCCTGGGCATCACGTCCATTTCCGGTCAAACTTCTTGTTAATTAATGGCTTTATATAATGCTGTGAAAGTCGATACCGTGTGTACCGCCAAAATTTCCTTTCGCAAAGGTTTCGCATAGAAACTGAGACGTATGGGCAAGTCAATAAAGTGATTACAATTTCCTGCAGCTGCTCGCAACAAAGAGCTGAATTTGGCTCCACCCGTGTTTGCGAATATGTAAGCAAGATCTATTTTACTCCAAACTGCAACTTCTCTCCAGAAGATATTAGGATCACGCCATAAGTCCCTCTGCTTCTATTTACAAGACAAAAGCAGGATCCATGCTCTCAGCTGGACCAGCACCAAGGTTGAGAGACGAACAAAAAAGATTGTCCTGCCGCGATGTTTGCAAAATTTACTGTGTCACACACAGCTGGGGAGGTGCAAGGGAAGACTGCGGAAGGAAGGGCAGCACCGAACATCACGTACACCGTTGTGGTGGTTTGGACACAACACCAACGACTAGCAATATAGGTACGTACAACACCAGAGCCAATCTGCTGCAGAAAACTTGATGCCTGGTTGGCGGCGTTGGGCAGTCCTGCAGCGCCGCACACTGCAGCGGCGGAGTAGCGCCTTACGTTGGCTCTGCTCGAGCTGAAGAAGTCCACGCCCAGGTTGGGGCTCGCCTGTGACGTGGGGTAAATGTGCTCGCATCAGGACAAGTAGCGTGAGAATTAAGAGCCCACGTACGAATACACACAGAGCAATGCAACCAATCGGAGTCGAGCGTCAGTTCAGCATTCCCTTCGATCCTGTTGTATATCGTGATAACACTTTTACTCTTTCACCCTCTTTCTTGCGTAATATCGCAACTCTCATTTTCCTAGCATTGCTTACGCGCCTCCTAGGTTGCGGCTGACCCTAATTATATGCGACGTGCTTAGGCCGGCGTAGTTAACCGCTGGTGTGTAAACTGATTTCGAAACCCAAAGATAAATGCTCGGAAAACAGCTCGCAAAGTCATGTGAACATTTTTCACAATATGAAAAAAAAAAACAAGGGAACAGGGTGCCAACACAGCACCACCCAATCAATATCCGACATAACAGACGTAACATGCATATATATATATATATATATATATATATATATATATATATATATATATATATATATATATATATATATATATATCTGGTTAGAGCATCGAACGCGTTATTAGAAGGTCGTAGGTTCGATTCCTGCTCACGGCTGGTTATTTTTTCACCCACTTTTCTTTCTTATTTACATTCCTTGGCATTACTGTCTGTTAGATCTCATTAATATTGTGTCAAAACACGGGAAAACGAGCCCTTAGGGATACACTTCTTTCCCATAATATATATTATATATATATATATATATATATATATATATATATATATATATATATATATATATATATATATATATATAGAGAGAGAGAGAGAGAGAGAGAGAGAGAGAGAGAGAGCAAACTAAATAAACTAAACTAAATAAAGCAAACTAAATAAAAGGTGAACGTCACTGACAAAGAAAAGCATTTCAGCTGATACTAAATTCCCTCTAAGTTTTATTTTGGTTTCAAGGTACCCGGTGTTGGGCAGAGTCGGCCGAGTAGGATACTAGTTATTAAGCTACAATTCAGGCAAATCTGCGTAAGCTTTTCAAGGCTTCATTCTTATCTGTTCTTTTTGCATTCTCCTACCCTTGTGCTGTGAACATGTCCCAGAGAATTAGGAAAAACATGACTGAATGTTCACCCTGAAGAATGTATTCAGCTGCCGGTTAGACCGTCTAATTACTGTATTGCTGCCTGTATAAAATGAACTGAATACAATTAAATTTCTATGAACTGCACCTATTTAAATTTTAAGGAGGTGTAAGTGGCCAATGGAGGTGTGACGAATAGCCGCAATGTGCAAATGAAACACCGATGACGTCCACATATCACACAACTGTTCTGTTTGCAAAAAAGGTTGATCGTCTTGGCTGGCACAATACCAGCCATGACGATCAACCTAAGTAACACGAACCAATTGCTACCGCAAAATGATGAAAAAGCACTCGTTGTCTAAAGAATGGCAACTACGATTTCTCTGGAAATGAGGTCTTTCGATGTCTAATCTTCGTGCCGCTATTGTGAAGTTGTTTCGTTTAATATTAGACTAAAGCGAACACGGCTAAATGTTGCTGTAAAATGGATGACCCATAGGTAAGGTGTCCGAGTGGATTTTCCTTGTGTTGGGTTTAGGGCAACACGTTTTCCTTTTTTTGCTTGATTATACCGTTCGTTCACTGTCAGTGTTCTGTCGTGAATGCACTGTAGCGACATCATCGTAATCTAATCTGAGGCACATGGACGCGACAGAGGAGATTCTCGGACGGGGAGAGGCGGGCGTACCATCTTGGGCGAACTGAAGAATCCCGAAAAACGCGAGTCCTGCGTCCCGACACTGGAATGCCTGCGAACGGGGAGGCCCCCCGGGGTATAGCTGACGGTGCCCTCGGGCGAACAGGGGGCCACCAGGATCCTCGGGGGCTGGATCGTGTTGTCCGAGTGCCTCCGCCCAGGGAGCGTGGCCTGAACGCGCAGCAGGTTCGAGTCTGGCGACGACGAAGCTGCGATGGCAAGATCAATTCGTTGTAAAGGTATATGTCACAGCATAGACATGCACCGGCTTCCGCGTCAGGGAGGGTGGAGGTTCATCCCCAGAAACCCCCTTCTCTATTAGGTCGACGTATAGGGCAGATGTACTTTGTGCCCCCTCTCTCAAGTGACAAGGTTTGGTTTGGTTTGGTTTGCTTTATTCAAGGCAAAATTGAACAAGATTGCCTTGGGGGACACGACTAAAGGCTAAGTGATGCCTGACTTGGTCGTGCCACCCTGGCAGCAAAGCAGAAACATGCCGCAGGTACAGTACGCAGAAAATTACAACATCACGTGTTATCTTACACGGGTACCATAGTCGAACAGGAACTGCCAGAAGTGTGAATAAAAGAATTGAAATATAAACAGACTTTATTCGCGTGGTGGCAAATACAAACAAATGCATGTTTTCTATCAAATAACAAAGGTAGGAGGGGAAAGCCGTCCTCCACTGCCCTCCTCGAGCACACGCCTATGTGTAACAAGGTGAAATATTAATAATAAAAACCGTCAACAGAAGTTTCATCACTCCCCCCTGCCCATCAATGTGACTGTGTCTATGAAAAGGGGCACACAATTGCACTCAGTGCAGTGCTGAGCAAGAAAACCATCTTTCCCGTTTCTAACATTGGTAGCAATGGAAGTTAGCGCTCGTGTTCTTCTTGTCTCTTTGTCATCGTTCGGTTTTCGCGCTTTAGCTGTCGTAACTATCGCCTCCCCATCAATGTTTCTTTTCGGGATTCCTATGCTCATAACACGCGTGAAAACACATGCACTGAACGCACATACATATTAGGTGAACAACCCTTCACCCCAGCAACGACAAAGAAATGATAGTCCTGCCTACATTTTTTGTTTGACTGTGATTGAACGCTTCGTTCCGAACTAATGAACCAAATACGCACCCCCTTTTTGTCGAGATGCAGCAAGCTACGCTTACGCTCTCTGTCAGCGTACGGAGAAAGCGTTGCGAGCCACGTGTTTTGCTATAGCAGCGATAGACGGCGTCACCATTTTCAGCAGAAGCATCGTTTTTGATTCGCGTGGAGTTTCGCGCGTTTCTGGAATCGTACTCGCTAAAATATTTCTTCCCGAGCTCAGCTCAGACCCCGCTCAGTCTCCCACACATTAGTTTATAGGCTTCGACACTGCGACCTTCGTGTCACAGATTCAGCAACTGCCAGCTACAAGCTGTCTTTTCGTTCACTTTGCCTTCTTCACACCCATAATCCGTTTAGTACAATTGTCCAAAGCAGTGCAATTAACGTCCCCCTCTTACTTCGCTGCCTTCATTATAAGCTGGTTTTCATTAAAGTTCTGCCAAAAGAACTGGGCCCTCAAAAATTCTCTTCGATCATGCTACATTGTCAACGACTGAATGAGTGATTCTTGAAAGGAGGGATGCAGGCACGTAATTACTGTCTGCCTCGCGGTCGACACGGCGTAGGGCCTGTTATCAATTAGGTTTGGGAACATAGCTGTGCGTGGGGGAGAGGGAGCAGGGTAGCGAGTAGAGGGGTGCAAAGTCAGCCCCATACATTGACATGATACGTGTGGTGGTAGTGGTTAGAAGATGAGAAAAGGCACCTAATTTCTGCAAGCCGGTCGGGAGCACGGCACAGTGCCTGACATGATACTGAGGGAAGTGCTGCAACGAACCTTCACCCCTCCCCCTCCTCGCCCCCTACACCCATAGAAAGGGAACCGTGCGCTCGCTTATGCTTGTGAGGCAATAAAAGCTTCGCTTGAAATAATTGGCCCCGTATCTACATGTTTCGCTGCAAATGTTGTCAAAAGGCGATAGTCTTACGCCTGGAGAGAATGAACAAAACGTTTATTTGATGTTCTACGCGAGAAAATTGGTGAATTGTATACTGGAACAGCTGCGTTAGTCTTGATCCATGCGGCGAAGGCTGACACGTTAGACACGAGCGCCATCTGGCAGTTATCTTCGAAAACGAAGGAATGCGTGCGCGCCCACGGAGAAAGATGCGTGCCTGCCTCGGAGGGGATACGGTGTAGAACGCAAAGCGACGGGCAGGTGTCACCCCCATGTCGTCTTAGCTAGGGAGCCTACATGAACGACCGTTTTTTACCCACTACATGCCGCCAACGCACCGCCGCCTGCCAAACGCAATGTTGCCAGACAGCAACGCCGCGCTGTCGCCCCATCTTGGTGCCCGCACTGCGTCTACGCCCGGTTGCGCTTATATAGTTCTCAATAATACGGCGTTGAACGTTGCGGTAGCGTGTAAAACGCTGCCGGTTAAGCCTTAGAATGCCTGAATGCTGCGTACCGCTCTGCACTAACCCCAACAGAAAGGGGGTGCGAATGTTCCGCTTCCCAGCCAGCCCTGGCCGACGACAACTATGGCTGGCTCAAGTGAAGCGAGACGGCTGGGAGCCCACCAGTGCGTCTCGAATTTGCTCTGTGAGTACTGCGTATTTCGTTCACTGTTTTTTCCTGCGGCACACGTATATGTGTTTCGCGGTGTTCGCGAATGAGTAGATAACCGAAGTTGTCGTTGCTGCGTCCACGCATTGCGAGTAGGAAGCCCACAAACGGGACGCGTCCGCGCGTTCGTACGGAGACGCGCTCGCTAGTGTGAGCTGTTGCCACAATTGCGTTCGTGTCAGCGTAACCTCAGTATTATGTCGCAAGTGTTTGTGTGTGGGTTGCGAATTTCTTCGTGCGCTCACTTTGAGAACTGGGTCGCTTACACGACCCTGAGAACCGCCGCTGTCAAAAGCCCAGGCTCCTTTTTGTTGCGCCGTACTTCGCGTAGCTGGAGGGAGCGGCGGCTGGCTCCAAAATGGCGGCGCACAGAAAACTACGCTGACTTTGGTGGAAGCTGGCAACAGCGTGCCCCGTTGCCCGCTGGTTTTGGCTGAGTTTCTTGAAGGCACTTATTAAGATGTCTCCACCCTAAAAATGGCCGTTCATGTAGGCTCCATAGTTTTAGCAAAGCGTTGGAAACGCTTGCCTTTTCGAGCATCGCGTTGCACTTTCAGCGCAGCGTGATAAACGCTACGGTCCTTAAAATTACTTATGTGTGCCTTCTCCAGTATAAAGACACACATACAAAATATTGACGTGTTGTTATGATGCCTCAGGCATACACAATAATTGCTTTTCAATTGACAATCGCACAAGTACGAACGCTGAAACTTGAGCAATATTGGTGCGTGCTGCGGATGGGGTGGGCCGTTCGGGGTATCGTTTGGTGCTGTTTGGGGCATCGTTGCGGCAGACAAACAGGCAAGACGGACCGCCGTACCATTGCACTGGTGCGTTACAAGTTGCAGCGGGAAGGCTCAGTGCTCTCCCATAGTTGAGTACGAAGTACTCGAAATCGTTAAACATTTTTTCCTAGACAATATGCAGAAAGACAGACAGAGACCACAATTGTGGCGTCGAAGGTCCCCAAGAAAGACTGCCGTCCTTAAAAGAGATACGGAATGTGATTGATGCTCGACGCGTCGTCCGGTACTCACCTGAACTGCAGGTCCTGCGGACGACGTCGTCCATGCTAATGGACGTCCGTCGGGACTCTAGGCGGAGTGAAGGTGGGCGGTGAGGGTAACCTGTTGGCTGCTCCATGTTGTAGGGCGTCTGCACGGGCAGCCTGTGGATGGGGCGTGCCAATTCTTTCTGTCACACCTGGTGTGCACAACTCAACGACAGGTGACCTCGCGAGGTGCGCTTTGCGTGCATCTATCCATAGCATTGTGTAGGTGTGTGACCATGTTGCCTAACTTTGGAGGAAGATGCTCTATTACAGTGCGTTTTTTTACGATGTTGTCTCTTTGTGGGGCCTTTTTTGCTAAAGCGAAATGTACACCAAGTACATTTCGCTTTAGCATATCATTTTACTATCCTACTCACTGAAAGAAAAAAAAACGCGTCAACATCATAAGTTTTGTATGAACTCGAAAGAGCCATGACACAGCCAACCAACAATCTGCAGGTTTCAGCGAAGTATAGACGTAATGGACTTACTGTATATGTGCGTTCATATAAAAGCGAAACTTAAAGGTAGAGTCATCCGGTGGCTGCCATTTCGTCATGACCTGTGTCACGGATGTCCTGCATGAAGTGGAGCGGTCATCTGCTGAAGTTTCAGCCGTCGAAACTCTCCATTGCACGCGCAGGCGACCACGGAACAAAATTGTTCTTTCGCTGAAATGCTGACCCTAGCATAGCGATGAGATTGTTACGTCACAGCCCGCGGATCCATCACTGTTGACCGGCTGTCGGGCCATTCACGTGTTTGAAATAATACTCAAATACAAAATAAGCGGTCACCGAAGAGGCGAAATTTCATCAGCTTCACTGTGAAGGCACGGGGATTGACCAAAATAACACCGATTATTATCGAAATTTTGGAGGTCATGGCTCCTTCCGTTGAAGTACATCATTATATACTATACGTTTCAATGGACAAAGTTATGCTATTTGTTGTAATATTTTGGTCCAGTTTATCTTAAATTGTTACAAAAACGTTCTAACGTACGCTTTTTGCATTGTATGTCACGTTTTCTATGTGGCGTTTCGTCATTATTATTACCGACTTTCCCAAGTCTATGTGATGCTGTTGAAGTTGCGTTTTCATAGGAGGGTTTTGTAAGCCCATTCCTGCTTAAGAGCTGGTAAACAGGTCAGCCGTATGTAATAAATAAATGAAATAAAAATAACACCTGTCCATCTCAACGTTACTTTTTTTTTCTGGAACATGAACGGTGTGATTAGCGATTTTCTGATGTCATCGATGCACATTCGCGGCAGCGTTGTCGACAACTTTAGAAAGACTCGGATGTATCTTCAGCGAATGACGAACATATCTCGAGATTTACGTGTGCTTCCTTGATGCTCACATATTTGCAGCAAGTACACGTTTGTCGCTGTTAAAAACCATGTTTACGGCAATTGCAGTTGCGAGAGCAAGGAAATACAACCCAATTACGGTTACAAATAACATTAACTTAATTTAAGTATGGCATATTATTCGCGTAATTCTCAGAGTCTTGGTTTACGGTCAGGTAATACTGAAAAAGTGTCAATATAAGCGCATTATGAAGATGTAACTGCTGTTCTTAACAATGATTCTGTTAAGCACACAGGTAGAGCATGAGAGCTGGAGTAGACAGGGTACCATGGTCATCGATATGTCACCTTCTGAAAAATGTGTAGATGTTCGTTCTTTCTTCGACTTTTACATACACGAGCTGCACTTAAAAAAATACCCGAGAGTAGACTCTGGAAGAAAAACGTATTCAATCAAGAAGCACAATTTCCTTTCAGCCGGAAGTTCAGCCGGAAGTTCAGCCGGAAGCAAGCTTTGTTAAAGCAAGTCACACTATATATGTATGCTAAGCGGAAATGCATCAAGATGCAGGCCTAGCGCGCGTCTATTGCGGCCACAGAAGCACGTGCAATTCTATGAATTCAGCACACAGCGTGGTGCCCTTGCGGATGCTTCCGCCTTTTCGCGGAAATGGCGGCAAAATGCAAGCGCTTCTAACATGGCCATGCTAAAAAAAAAAAAACAGCCGCAAAAATTGCTCTACGCTCAGTCACGTGAGAATATGTTTCGAACTGGAACTGTAGCGGTGGGTATGTTCTCACCCGAAGCGCTAAATAATCAGTATAGAAAAGTTTGTGGGTCCATTGTGGCCCTTCTCTGCAACGACCAGAGCAAGAAGAAGTTGTCCTTATGCAAAGTGAACCTTTTCAGCGTAAGTGTGGTGCTCTATTGTGAAGCTTTTACTGGTGCAGAATAATGACAACCTATCAACATATTTGCACAGCGCAAGACAACGAGTAGTTACGACGTAACCACAGAAGAAGTGACAAGGACAGAAAGAGCGCCGACTTCAACTGGATTGAAGTCAGCGCTTTTTCTGTGTTTGTCTCTTCTTCTGTAGTCACGTCGTAACCACTCGTTGTCTTGCGCTGTGCAAATATGTTGGTTCCCAATCACCAACCAGCCCAAGCATCTGTCTTATCAAATGACTACCTATGTGATTGCATGACATGATACGTGGAATATTTGTTGAGGAATCGGGGAATCCGCATGCACCGTGGTAACGAATCTGTGCCTAGGTCGTGCCATGCTCAGGGACCTAGACGTGGAGGAACTGTACGGTATTTATTGGCTGTGGTGCATAGGTCGTGCGTCGACGTTAGTGAACTTATCTAGTGTAAAATCCTGCATTACCACTTACGTCACTCCTCATGTAAAAAAATGCTGTTAACTGTCGGCAATTCTAAACAATGAAGAAAATCCGTAAACAAAGGATTTTGTCTTCCAGCCGAAATTTCTGCAAGTAGACTTAACTTCCTCAATGCTAGAACCAGTGCGGAGCCGGAACTTGTCTTCATCAAGACTAGCACTAGCCGATTCTAGCCTTGTCAAGACGTCAGTTAAAAGACACAACCCCTGTCCACAGATTTTTTTTTCATCGCAAGCATCCATCTTCACATTGCTGCTGCTTTGTGGACGGAAACTAAACAGGAATCACAAAGTTATTAGTTTACGTCGTTCACGCCATGCGACATACAGACATCCGACGTGGGAAACTAGTCATGTTCAATTATTATCAAAATCAGATGACCGTGTAAATGTGAGTAGAGCTTATTCCGGTCATTATGTTATATCTGCCTTCTTGCGGGATCTGTTTCATTCTATTGCCATCGAAAATAGAATTTAACTACGTATATTTTGGCCTTAGCTTACACATAAATCTGTTAGAATACTGACTATACTTCAAGAGCATGGCAGTGTGGTGAACTAAACCTCAGTTTCAAGTAACGAACCTAACGCGGGTAATACAATCCGTCAAAAAAAAAAACGCAGTTTTGAGGATGAGTGAAAGCTGTTGTTCTTTAATCGTGTGATCTGTGCAAAAAAAAATCATGCAAAGGTGAGATTCGTCAATTGGAATTCTGTGACACCACGTCTTAATGCAGTTTTGCTTTCTAACAAACGTGTAAGAAAAGGCGTGCCAGTTTCAACAAGAATTGCGAAAGTAGTGAGCTCATATTTTTATTGTTTCCCCTTTCCTCCACCCCACGTGTAGGACAGCCAACCGAGCCTAGCTTAGTGAACTTGCCTGCCATTGTCTCTCGTTTCTCTCTCTCTCTCTCGAGATTTTTCATAGGTGACTATTTAGCATGAACGTCTAGTGAGAAAAATGCACTTTGTTGGATTACAGAATTCATGGAAGAAAATACTCGTCATGAATATTACTAAGAGCAAACGTCTCTCGATAAGGATTGCTTTTTGATAACTTATAACTTGATACTAGGAATGTGTTTACCGATTTGCATAGCGTTACATCAAGTTATAGTCAAACTACAATTTCGCTTTGAATCCTTCTGGTTTTCTTCGTTCTACCCAGAGTAATTACACCACAGTGCGTGTTAATGACTCAAATAGGCAAATTGACATTTGTGATTACGTTAAGCGTGCACCAAAACGGCTGTTTCTGAAACTCACTATGATAATGAGTCCTAAAATCTCACAACCTGCATCCTACCTATGTCTAAAGATAAAAATTATGCACAGCTTTAAGTACTTTGACGTATCCAAGAGTCATTAAACAGAAGATCTGTGGACACCAGGACGCTTTTCCTCCTCTCTCACTAACACCACTTGTGCTCCAGCGCGCGCTACCATTGGTCAACTCTTTTCATTGGCACAGCCAATCGCACTCCTGCTAGCTCCTCTTCTCCACTACGCCTAATACTCTTCGCCATAGTTTCGTCATTGCTCGTCCCTCTTCCCATGTCAGTACCCTTTCTCTATCAGGTGCAACCATGTCTACCCTTTCGCCCACCCATGCTCTCCTTTTCAGGCTTTGCTCTTGGAGAAAGTGTGGATGATGGATCGTCAGGCTTTTACCCCAGTCCCTAACAGCTCCCTGCTAAAGGGTGTGGCAACGGATAAAAAAGAAATAAATTTTTGACACAAAGTTTCAGGTGTGTATATAGTGACAAGTATGACAAACCATTCTGATTTAACTTCATTTTGCAAGCGAGAAAAGAACTACAAATGCTACTCTCGCAAACCCCGTGAAAACTGGCACAACATGCCCTTCTACCAGTGCGGAACCAGGTCCAAAGCCACGCGAGATGCAGAGCGATGCAGCAAAGATGCATTCTACTGCAAACGTCCGGCAGCACATGAAAGCCGCGTTCGGGAAAAAGCCTCGATCGTGGGGCAGGCTCGGTCAGGCTACGAGGGCGAGCGTCGGGGCGTTTCGGGCTTGGGCATTGCAAAGACCGTCTACTGGGACTCGGCGGGCACCCGCGCAACTAGAGGTACACACCTATCCGGCGGACTCACGACCCGGTGTTGTGCCTCGTCCGGCGTCGCTTCACTGTTTTGGGGGGAAGAAACAACGGCATTGCAGCACCTGCTCACACTTCTTTCTATCGCTGTCAGCCTCCGTATTTCCGTTATCACAGCTATCACCAAGTTTATTCAATAACGAGCTAGTCATTCAACTACAGCATCGGCTTGAAAAGTGTGTCAAGGTTCCTCATCAGTCTGAGGGTCGTTAGAAGACCTTACCAACACCAGCATAAGTCGGCTGCCGCGCAAAGATTCATAGACAGTGCAAGCCCAGCTTGATACAGAGAGAACATACACATCTTCACTCTGACGTACACAAGGAAACGTTGGGTACAGAGATGATTTTCGTAGGATTGCTTAATATCTTGAGACTTCTTGTTCATGTTGACCTCGGCCTATGTTGTGGCATACGAAGAATCATGAACCATCACAGATATGACTTTGTTCAAGGGGGACAAGAGAGTTACGCAGAGTTGGCGAGCAGGGGTTTCGGTTCAGTTGCTGTTAAAGCGAAAGTCCTAAATGACAACAGATCTTGTGTCTTTAGGTAGTACCAGAAATTGACGAGCATCTCGCACAATATTCGTGGCGTTGTGGTGGGGTTCTACAGAAGGGCAGAATAGCCTTAACAAGCGCCGGATTGCAGTGTAAGCGCGTAGATCCTTCTTAGTACAGGAAGTGGAAAGAAATAGGAAAATATACATAGGAGAACTTCCGAGAACCGCGGCAGCTTTAATCTGAAATCAATGTGCGTTTGCCAGCTATAGAAGTTCAGGACATTGGTTCACAGTTCCACAGTTTCGGCGGAGCGTTACACGGCGGTGAACTTGAGAAATCGAGAAGGTCCATTGGCTAGGGCGAATTATAATGGTGGTTTTAAAGATACACTTCTCTTCATATTTACTCACTCAACTTAAAGCTTCGCATTAGTGTGCTCAATCGCTATCAGAATTATGCAAGTGCTCAGTTCAGGTCAGCTGTCAAAGCAAGACAGTGACATCTTGACCCTATTCTCGGCTAGGTATGTTGCCATTGGCATATTTAGTCCACATTACATGAGTCACTTTAACTCACATTTAATACCTAGCGTTAAAAGCAAGTATTAGATATATGGTCTAAAAGTGTATACTCACATGTCCGTCGAAGGTATCGACAGCTTTTCCAACTTGAGCTTGTTTCGCTGGCTTTTGGAGACGTGTTCGAGCATTTCTTGGAGTAACTCTATGAGACTCGTGAACTGCAAGTAAGATTGAAAGCCTTCAAGATATAGGATTTATTATCGAGAATTAACGTTATACGAACAAATGTGCCTAACGTTATTTTTAAGTGGGTCACACATCTCGACTGTTTCTGGTTGAGTGATTTCGAAGTCCAGTTTAATATAGGTCTTACAGTCAGCTGTACATGCCTTTATGTACCTTCGTACAGTCTCGACAACTTGTCCTCACTAATCAGTGACGTCACGTCTCACCTGATCTAGCTTCAGGGCCGGGCTGACTACGACGGGTATTAGGGCTGGCATCACTTTGGTGGCGAGAAGGTTGACCGTTAGTCCGTATCGCTTGTCGCTCAGCATGTGCTTGTAGATCCCTGCGGATACGACACGTGCCCCAGTCAGACTCAATAACTTTGCCCAAAAGTGCAAGCACACGCTTGTTGGAGTCGATCATTCTGTCGTGAAGAGAGTGTTCAGCCGAACATGACTATAATCTTGCCTTCAAGACATCAGAATCTGTTTGTGTTACATTTCGGTGTAGTTACTGCAGGTTCCTGATGTAACTGACAGACCTGTCTTAGAATACCTGTCGTAGAACAGGTATCCTCTCGCATGACATCAAAAGTGAATTGTATCGCGTGCTTGCAGTTACAACGAAGAGGTGAACTACTACGACAAATGTTTGTATTATCGCAATGACGTGTGTTGTAGCAACACGCATCATATAGTCAAAACAAATGTCACTAAAATGTGTGCAAAAATTTGTAGCTGCACTACAGAAGCCTGATGGCGCAGAATACACCATACAAATATTCGCGATAAAAAACAGGGTAATATTTGGTGCCAAGTATAAAATACATCAAAACATGATACCTTTCTGTCACTGCATTCTGTTTTGTGTTTCAAGTGGGTGAGGAAAACACGTTCATAATAAAAAAATTACCTTTACACACCACTTTTCAAACGCCAACAGGGCACCTCTTTGGTGTGGTGCGAACACTTATGGCAGTACAAATAAAAGTAAAAATAAAAATCTTCAAACAAGTCCTGTGCTTATCTTTGGTGTCAAGCGACATTGACTTCATGAAAAAAGCTACGTGGGGATTAATACGCAGAATAAGAGCGCGGTTTAAAGCTGAGTCAATTTTTTTTTTCAGACGCATTCTCATTGAACTGCATGGGCTGCCGTCTAGTATCAGAAACCTATGTTCTCCGACTCTTCTGCCATGCTTTTCTTTCTGAGATATTGTAACACATATTTTGCGCTTGGAGACTATATTTCATCTTGAGGCACACACTAAGTCGTGAATTTAATTCTGACCATCAGAGCATTGTTTTTATACCGAGTCACGACCAGTATAATATGCAAGAAAGAATTCGCCTGTATCTCGTGACTACTTCCAGTTAACGATATAAATTGACGTATTGACCTACAAGAGCATTACGCTTTGAAATTACGTGTTATCAAGAACTTTGCGCTTGACACCTGCGTTTATCAAGAGCGGCGTTTGATAGAGAGTCTTCGTGTTCCATCTGACATAGTTCATACTGTACTTATGCTACTTGCTTGCTATCACATACTCGTGTGAACTTTCTATTTTTATGCGTTAGAAGCCAATACAGCACACTATACACATATCTATATGTATAGGCCTGTAACTTCCATCTATGCAGCCGTCAGTGTTCAGTGTCATCAGCGTGGCTTTGTGTACTTACGGACAACCGGCATGAGTATTGCCGGGTCCTGGAGCTTGGCCTTTCCCAACATGGGCAGTACTTCATCTAGGATGTCTGTCTTCTCGAGCTTGTCGATGATTTTTTCGATGCAGGTCAGCGCGTTTGCCTGCACCTGCGATGTGGAGTGACGTGTATGTACAAACCCGGAGTTTGTGGCAATGCGCGCAAGCATACCTATTACTAACAGGAACCTTACAGTTGATCAAACAGCAAGTAATAGTGGTAAAGAGAAATGAAACAAAACTTGAATTTAGGTGGCCAAAATAGTAAGTGTAGGCAGAGTGAATTGTGTGAATAACTGTATAAAAGCCAAGTGAAACCAGCTGGCTATAGTGAAGAAAATCTAGTGGAACTGAAAAGTAAAAATGATGCTTTTTCCTGTAAATCATAAATAATCACGTTGTGTAGTTGGAATGCGAATGATCAATGTTATGGAAGCTGGTAGGTATTGATTCGAGACATTCAAAAAGTTTAGGAGGACACCACTGAATTGTAAGTAGTCGTACCCAGTGGTCAATTGTGGCCATTAAAAAGAGCAAATTAGCAACACTAACGTGTATTCTGGGAATGGAAATCAGTGGTTTCGCTGTTATTTTGAGCTTAGAGCAATAAATAAAGACAAAAAATACAAATAAACTGCCTGTTATATCTGATTTATTATCTTTCTCACATATCGAAGAAAATCTGTGAAAATTCAAATTCAGGTTTCAAGATGTCATGCAGCAGTGCTCGTGCATCGGTGTGTTATTCTTGTTACAGCATTTGTTGCCAAAACGTAGAAGCCCTACTTCTACAATCCAAAGTTACGAAAGTGAATGCTCAAAAGGTCAAACGTGATCAGACAGTACCAAGCTACATTCCCTTTCAAAGTAACAAGCGTACGTCTTTCAATAACAGCTCACAATTACTTTATTCTCGGGTTTCCTTGTCCCTATTACACGTCATGTGCGTACGAAAGCCTGACAACACCAATTGTTAAATTTCCTCTTGACGAACGCTAACTCGATCCAGCCCACGCAGGCACGTCTCTATAAAAGTGCGATATGTAACCTTTGGAGCGACGAGCCATCATAAAAGATCGATGCTTTCAAGCCTTAGACCGGAGCGCTTGAGCCTCATAGGGGCCCTCAAATAACTGTCGTTGAAGCGATGTTATCCCTTACAAGCAGCCCCGCTTACGAAACCAATCAATATCGCATTATTCAAACGCACGAAAGAAAGGTTTGCTTGCAAAAAAAGCTATCATAAATCAACTTTCGTTTCTGGTTTACTGGTTGCGCAGGTACGACTGTGTCATTCCGTTTACGTAATTTCGCTTCGTTATGAAATGAGATTACACCGGAACGCTTGAAGCGACCGCAGATCAACTTTTAGCCTTGGTCGCGAAGTATCAAATGTTGCCCAGGCATCATTTATTTTCGGTCGTTCGCAACACCTTACGCTAAAGACGCGTTTTAACCTGACCCGTCGTGGTACTTCCTGTGGTTCCTCGGAATTAACAATTGCGCAATTCGCCACTAATCCCCCCCAAAGTAGCTTCCACAATGGCAATGCTTCCTTTTTCCGAATTGTAGGCGGAGATTATACGTATTCGATCGATGTTAGGAAGGTTTGGAAGAACTACAAGCGGTGAATATTAAAAATATAATCGCTAAACACGACGGTTTGAAAAAAAAAAGAATCACTTATCTCCGGTTTTCAGCTCTAAACCGAGATCGAAAATAATCGTTCCTGGTACATGTAAACATGTTTTTCGAAACGGCATTCAGTTACTTGCGTTACGCAAATACTCGGCTTTATCCTTAGAAGGTTCCTCCGTGCTTGTAGTTTTCCGAAAACAGTTGCACCGGGAAACGTAATCCGGGTGATTCTTGCGTCATAATTCCATCAAAATGGCGCGTCAAGTTACCGCTTACTTGAGAGCGGGGCAAAAAACGCCTAACTTGGATGAAGCACGGGTCATATGTTATTGGTGTAGATCAGAAGGTTCTGATACATTTCAAATAGGCGAACGGAGACGTTTTGTAATGATTTTAGAGCAGACAGAAAGTTATCCGATACGGTTGGTGTTTGTGGATAGTTGGCAATCGTTGGAACAGTCCATGAAATTCGAATTTCGACCATAATCTGTGATATGAGGGCTGACTCTCCTTCACTAACAGATGAGCTGGCAAAGCTTTAGCGTATTCGTTCGAGTAATTAAATTATGATTGAATATTTTCACGAACATGTGAGCTCTCTGAGAGTAGGACAACACTGACGCACTCTTGAGCCGCGATGTAACAATGCCGCGATGTAGCACCTGCACTCTGGCGAACGAATTTGTTCCGTGGTCCGCTGCGTGTGACATCGACATAATTCCGTTTTATTCAGCTTGGCTTTGAAATCGAACGACATCACAGGGGTTAAAACTTGGGTAGAAAACAAAGGCTCCGCTCTCCCCAGCACATGGCGTCACACGTGCCATGACAAAAGGAAGGTTTAGAATAGCGTACCGCAAGCCCTTGCGGTGCGCTCACTGCGCACGCGTCGTAACGCGAGCAGCCGTTCACGTTTGCGGCCCGCCCGCATAAATTCCAAAATAGCGTGCGGCGATCGCGGCCCGTAAGGCCCGCAAAGTGCTGTGAGTAGTATCAATGCATTTGGGTTTGCGGTCGGGCCAAAAGTGCCTAGACTTTCCCCTCGGGGGAGCAAACGCTATTCTAAAACTCGTATGGGGCCCGCAACTAAAGCAACGCCCGCAACGCCAGCGAACGTTATTCTAAACCTCCTTAAATTGGCGGTCGCCAGTGGTAGGTGGGAAGTACAGCCGGCGAGTTATATGCTTGCTTTGCACTGAAGTATTCTTTTACCACCCACTTTTCTAATTTGTGTAGGTATAGTAGACCGTTTACTACTACATATCGTTGAGAACCACAACTGGCTGCGTGACCCTGTCATGGGCCATTTAAAGGCGATTGCTTTTACGTTTGGGAGCAGTTCGCCCATCTTAAACTTACAGTCCCCATACATTAAAATTTGGCAACCGAAGAAAAACTTCAGCGGCTCTATAACTTCTTTCTTTTGATTCGTCGCTGATGAAAACGAGGCGCTGAATATGCGAGACCTCGAGAATACTGGGACAAGGCTGCCGATAGAATTTCAGAATTCCGAAGAACAGTTTTTTAGAAAACAGAACTGGTCATAGGACGCTAACTGGCGCGGGAAGTAGACAGTAGCATGTGCGGGGGGGGGGGGGGGGTAAGAAAATGTATGCCTTAGATATGTCATCTTAGCACTGTGCTAAAAATTCAGAACATATGATGTTCCGTCCTACCGAGTATTACCTGCTCCTTACAGTGTTATTGAATAAGACCTACATGTACAGCGGTTTATTAACAGCATATTGACACGTACCAGGGGCCATAGATATAGCAAGACAAGAACAGCGAGGCAGTAAGACACGAACGTGTCTCGTGAACGAAGGGCTAACACATTTTGTCTTCTTCGCCCTTTTAGTCTGCCCACAGCTTGCAGGCTCACGAAACAAGGTGGCAATATTCATTTGCACGGTGATGGCATAAGAAAGCAGTTTTTCCTAGTTTCCGAAAAAAAAAAACCTTACCTTGATTCCGGAGTTGTTTTCGAAGGCTTGCTTCGTCCTCGGCAGCACCATTTTGCGCACAGCACTCTCTTCGAGATAGTCAGCAATCTGTGCTATCGCGTGCATCGCTGCACACTAATAAGAAATGTGGAGAGAAGGAAAGAAAAATCAAGAACAGATCAGTTATCAACAGTGACTGTCCACGAATATCGTGGCGAGAAAGATTCCAAGATGTGACTAGCAATCAACAAAGTGTTGTTACGTTCAAAAAGAACAAGGCACATCCGGGGCGTTTTCGAGCGTCGCAGCAATAATGGCCATCGATCGTGCATGCCTTTGGTTGCGTCTGCATGGTCGTGAGCCTAGTGTTTCCAGGTCACGATTTGCGTGCGCCATGTGGGTGTGACATACAGCATTATTAATCGGGAAGTCGCGAGAACAGTTTCGAAGATAGGAAACGCCAGCGAATCGGGTGATGGCGAATATTGATGCACGGCAGAATGACTTACCGATTACGCTATTTGTACTCAGGATGTAAAGCCCTGGCGATGTCTGAGTAGAGCACGTGAGCAGGTAGTTCTCGCTCTGTGGGGCGACACCTTGGAAGAGTTTGGGAGAGTCTCAAGGCAGCCTCCTGGCACACTACGTCAGAGCCCGAAACTGCCTCAATGTTTCACCTCGAAGGGCAAAATCCAGCTGCTCGCGCGCAACATGAAGACGTGGCCGAGGCGCTGTACAGTGGTCAACTCTCGTATCTAGAACGACGGAACGTCAAGCTCGGAGCAGCACGAGCGACATCGGTATTTCTGAAAGGGTCACATCTCAGCATGCGCGGCACCAGTGATGTCTCCACCTGGCAGCCTCCGGCCTCGCTTATCGTGACAGCCACCACGACCACTTTGACCATCAGAAGCGCTGTGAACTGTATAGGGGGTATCGCCCTTGACGTCATCCGCGAGGATGGCTTTCGTCTGGGTTGCCCTTTTAGAGGTCCGCGCGCTCAACACACGCACACACACACACAAAAAAAAACTCACTGCACGTGTTGTGTCTGAAATTCATACGGTAACTTGGATAGCTCGAGACCTCTGGAATCTCCTGCATGCCGAAGCATGGACAGCGGGACGGGCTGTACAAACGAACCGTCAAAATGAAGCGGCAACGGTGTTACCCCCTTGCGAAACAAGGCTCAGCACATGCCCTCTATAGCGCGGGAAAAAGAAAGAGTGCAATTGCCATATTGGCACCTTTTATATTGTGAAATTATTCTCAGTTCGTGGTATAATATCATACCGAGAACCTCTTCCCATTCCCCCAACGTAGGGTGGCAAACCGGGCATGTGCCTGGTTAAACTGCCTGCCTTCTCTCTTGTTGTTCTTGTCCTCCTCCTCCTGTTCGGTACGTTATCTTGCTTGCTTTTTGCTTTTGCATTTAACTGTTCAAACTTATTTATATAGCGTTCTTTCTGTCCTTGTCTCTTCTTCTGTAGTTATAACTACACGTTGTCTTGCACTGCGCAAATACGTCGATGGCCAAAGCGCTTGTCGCATCTGCGGTAATATTCAAGTATCAAAAATGCAAGCGAAGCTCGTCATTAGCACCGCGCACGCTCAGATGTGGCGTATTTACGACTGCAGACGTCGGCCATGCCTTTCCGAGTGCGACACTCCGTCATTCTAGAGTTGACCACTGCACCTAGAAAGTGCGGTCTACGCTGCGCTTGCTGTGCTACCACAAGTGTGAAGGCCAGAGCGATCCGGGGTATTCGCAAGGTGCGCATGTCAACAATGACGGGTTCAGGTCGCGTGGTAAACTCGTGCAGAGCAGACAATAAGCGGAGATAGATTACCTAGCTCGAAGACTTGTGAATTGGTGCGTTACTTATTTCATCGGTGGGACCTGCGCGTATCTATCCTCTTCCTCAAGCGAAGCTCAGCAGAGCACAGTCAGCTACCTTGAGAATGTTCCAGACGGGGTCTTTCCCGTCGCGGGGATTCCTAAGTAAAATATACGCGGACGTTGACCCTAGCTGTCCTGACTCCAAATAAACCTTCTGCTCTATGGCCCACATGCTCTGGCGATGTCCCACGCTGCCTAACAACCTTCTCTCAAGTGAAGTCGAATGGGAGGAGGCCATAAGAAGTACGTAACTCAGCAGGCATATCCAGGCAGTCCAGAGGGCCCAGGAACGGGTGAAGCGTCACGGCGCTCTGTACTCCTGTCCTCTACGTGGGTGCGGCCAGCGGTTACAACGGCCCCTCGTTAGAGGGTCCTGCAGGAACTCATCCCGTTTGCTGCCCTGCCCTGCCCTGCCCTGCCCTGTCTGTCTGTCTGTCTGTCTGTCTGTCTGTCCTGTCTGTCTGTCTGTCTGTCTGTGTTTATTCCGCACAACGACACTTGTATACCTAACGCACTTTCCTTGCGCTATCAGCATGGTCATGACCTTCTCTTCCATTGCATCAATATTAGCCATGTAGCTATCTGATTGGGTCCGATCTCAATATTCAAAGTGATAGCTACAATCTTGCTGGCAGAAACATGGAAAACGCCATGTTCTGTGAATGTGAACTTGAAGCTTACCTAAGGTCGCACAAGCGACGATTGCTCTGTTTACGCGCTTGTTGGAGGTGCCTCGCGTGTCATCGTAGCGCTGACCAATAGGCTTCAGTGAAACGTTAGTGCTGCGGGTTCGCGAAAAAGAACAGTGGCTAAAGGTGAACACCACCATCACAAAAACCCTGGCTGCGTCCAAATCCACTGTGTATCCGCACCGAGAGCGCCGACGGTGTCAAGCAGCACCTGTGTGGCGCCTTTTTGTTCATTTGTAGATTCGGTATTTGCTGTTACAAGGGGGCCTGCTTGTCAGCAAATACAAATCTAAACGAACTACCGTTCGACAAGCGTGCCTTGACTGCGTTCAACAATGGCGAAGTTCTGGGGCACATTAGACACTGTTCAATATGACTGTGTCTAATCTATTTATTTGCCTTCAACACTCGACTCGAGCCCACTCCACGGGAGTGTGTACCCCGGAGGAAAGTGAGAACCACCAACTGTTCTACACAAGAATAAAAAAAAAGTTTTTTGTCGAGAACGAAAAGCTGCGCAACCTCGTTGTAATTTATTTGAAATTGTGTATACGCTCGAACGTAATTCTGCAGTAGCAGATGGGAAAGCCTTGGCGTTGTTTGGATGCCACATTATGTCAAGTTTTATTCATCAAGTGCTCGAGTTCTGACGTTGTTGCATGTTGTATATCACAATATATCACAATGCCTCTTTGAAAGCTTCGCCCAAGGGACGGCTTTTGGTTTTCCCATAATAAAGTACCATGTACTCTAAATCGTTAACCACTTTTTCTAAACACAAGTGTTTCGAAGACTGCTCTCCTCGGTTTAATCTCAGTTGATTAGTCTGTCCAAATATACGGATTCCCTTCTGCTGCAGTTAGTGGTCGGTTTGACGTCACTGCCTGAACCAGCTCAACTTTTATAGAGGCGGCCTCATCAAGTGCGAGGCCCACGGGACGACTTTTAGCTTTGCCATACTAGAGTACCAAGTACACTAAATTGTTAACCACGTTTTTTAAACACCTAAGTGCTCCAATAGTACAGTACATGACATTAGGTCGTGAATCATTGTTTTCTAAGCACACTATTCAATAGTATATCTTAGTACCTTTCGTAGTGTTTGAAGTGGCTTAGAATTTCCACCTAGATCAACACTATATGCAATATATACAGCCCACCAGGGGAGGCCGGCTGTGAAATTCTTGTAGAGCGTTTTTGCGCGTCAGCCTCCAATTGCACGTTGCCCCCGGAGCCAGGTTGTAAACCCCCACTACCGCGGTTCCATGGCGTAAAGCTCAAGCCACTCGGCCACCCTAGGGGGTGGTCGAGTGCCTTGAGCGTTACGCCACGGAACGCCATGTATTCATCAGGGGTCCTAAATGAATACATAGTACCCGAACTCCTCAACAAGTTTCCCCAACGCCCCTAGTTTCTTCCCCACCGACACTCAGTTGGCATGCCAATTGTCTGAAGGGACAGCGCACCCTATCAAAGTGGAGTACATAGTACTGAGAATGGTAGAACCTTTGACATGTTGTTCTCCCAGCATTGCACAACCATCTGCAAAATAAGTCGGAACGTGCGAGAAATGGGGTTTAAAAAAAATGTTGACCTCTTGTCGTGCGAGCGACGACCGAAATTTTACAAAACTGCATCGCCACGCCATTTGACGTGGTGAGTGCGCACGTGCGTCCTTTCATTATCACATCCATATCTTTTTACTCACTTTCAGCGGACAAAGTGATAACGTGTAGCGTAAACGTGCTGAATTCGGAGAGAGCACGGTGGCGGCGAAGTGTATGCGGCTCGCTATGCCCTGAATAAAAAGATAGCATCTCTTGTCTCAGCGTTGAACCGATGCCCCACACCTCATTACGTCTCTTTTTTACACGCGATTTTAGGGAAAGAACGCTTGTTCCCCGTAACAATAGAGAGTTTTAGTACTGCGGACTGGTGCTACGCACGCATCACGCAAGCGCCTTGCGTTACGTGGCGTCGTTTGCCACTAATCGGCTTTTAGTACGCCGTAGTACCCGCGTACGTAACGAGCGTGAAGCGCGTTGCGCCATCTGGTAGATCAAAATAGAAGCACGTGTTGTTGACAGCCAATGTGAGCCAATCCAAGTGTTATAGCCAGTTTATGGCCATATTTTGAGCCACAGAGCCAGTTGTTGCTTGCCTTCGATGCCGCCATTTTGCAAAACGAAGTCTCGCGCTGTCGCGAACTTGTTCGAGAGTGGCGCGATCATCTCATACGTACGCACGCACGCATCTCATGCGTGCGTACGTAGCGTCTGCGTACGTAATGCGATACGTGCTGCGCGTTGCGGTCTGCGCATACGCACTACGCATAACGTGGCGTCCTTACGTACGCAACGCCGCCACGTACGCAGCGTACGTGGCGGCGTTAAAACTCTCTATTGAACATCTTTTTTGCCACGCAGAACGCGTTGGTTCGATCCCCACGAGGAGTGGTATTATTCATTAGTGGTTCCTTTATTTCACATCTACCCTGTGTTCTCGCTCGCGAACAACGACGATCTTTTCACGCTGTACCGACGACACTTACGTTGACCCCAACATTTCTGGGAAAGGAGCTCTTAACACTGCAGCGCGTTAAACGCTGCTCTGCGTGTTCTGTGAAGCAAGCCACGTGCATTTCACCACTGCCGTGACCCTAGTGAATTGAGCGTGTCACGGATTGAAGAAAGCGACGCCTGGCGCACACAGCTACATCCAATCACTTCGATTACACGCTGCGAGCGAGTATAAAGATATGAATTTGAAAATGAAAGGACGCGCATTCGCACTCACAACGTCAGATGGCGCGACGATGCAGTCTTATCAGATTGCGGTCGTCGCTCGCACGTCCCGACTTACTTTGCAGACGGTTGCACGCAAACATTTTCTACGTTCTATAGCTTTCACACTGTAGATCAAAAAAGTGCTATTGATCATTAACTACTCTTCTAAAGACATATCTACGATGAAAAAATAATCCGTAAACTCGGATTGTGTGCTCGAGTGACGTTTCGACAAGGCGGATTTCTCTTCTTCAAGGCTAGAACTGATTTCCTTAGCGCTAGCGTGTACGTGCTTCCCACCCTCTCCTACATCCTAATAAAGAACGTGGAAGGGGAAACTGGAGATACGAGAATGTGCGATGAGGGAAAAGGGGAGCGGCATGACGAAATGCTTGGGTGAAAAGGGAAGTGGTACGTTTTCCATGAATCAAAGAGAGAGAGAGAGAGACAGAGAAGCGGGGGTGGGGGTGGAAGCAGACATTTCGCTGAATCATGATCGTCAGCAGCCGCGCCACTTAACAATGGTACGTTCGAAATTCATAGAAGGGCCTGACTGTCGTCGGTTTTTTTTGTGTGTATGTGTACCATAACGAGTGGACTCAAGAGCCTCTTTAGAAACGTTATACGTGCCGGCTGAAGTGTATTGAACTTGCGAATAAGGTATGACTTTGTATATTTTCTGAGTCTTGAGGACCGGAATTTCGACTGAAGTACGTCTGAACAAGAGCTCGTACAGAAGAACCTGATTTCATATTCCCATTGCTAAATACGACTGGATTGGGTTACGAAACACGCGTTATAAATCTTTCTTGTGCATACTTTCCTTGAGAAATAGAAGGTGAGTATTGATCTCGAATGAAAAAAAGTTAGCCCATAACAATTGACGTTGGCATACTTTCTTCTTTTTCAATTAGAAGGGTTATAACAGTAAATTTCGTATTATATAGTTTGTGTTGTGTTGGTTAACTCTTGCGCCTCCACAAATAATCTGGTAAATGTTAGCGCATTTGGTCAAGTAGTTAATTCTTAAACGACTGTTTTATATAAACACGAAAGGGGCAAGTTGCTTGCCGTGTGTGCATCTGCGTTTCGGCGAGCGAATATGCTTCGCGTTTAGCTGCGCGTGCAATCAAGTTATATTTATTGATCTTGGCACTGGAATTGAATAATTTAACATGGCTTAAACATTGATATAAGATAATGTAGCCCAAACAAGTTCAGCTTCATGCAGCACATTACGTCACACATGCTATGGCAAAACGGAACCTTTGACTTGGCCCTAATGTGGACCATAAACCCTTCTCATCGATGGTGAGAAGGGTTTATGGACCACGACTTATACAGTGCATTTAGCACTAAATACTGTTTTTACAGATGAGTTTGAATACATCTACAGTCATATCATACCATTCAATTACATTTTTGCGTGAGAAAAGACTGTTTTTTTGGAGGGGCTGAGGGGAGGGGTGACCGTGTGATAGCGCTTCCAGAACCGAAGAAGACAGTGACAGCGGCTTCACAAGCTGTAAGCTGCGCTGAGCATATTGGCGACATTACTGTGCTAGCCACCATGCGCAATGTAATAGGATGACACAAAACGTTGTACCTGTATCTGCGGGGTGGTAGAATCAAACGAGTTGTACAGCATCGGAAGAACGTCCGCCTTGATGTCCGTCTTCGGGGTCTTCTTCATCAGGACGTCGAGATTCTCCAGTAGCGTCACCGTCGCCTGCAAGACAACGTGACCAGGGTCAGATGATCCAGCGATTACATGAAGGCAATATACAGTGGCTTCGCCAAACTAATGAAGCTGCGACGCTTCAACAATACCGAATGAGCCCACCACAGCAAGGGGTGGTACGAGAATCAGAACACACACATGGTGGTGTTGTGCTTTTTATGCAGTCTCTAGATTATGAAGTCTCTAGTTTGTAGTCGCTTATAGCACTGGAAAATTTAGTTCAGTCAGCATTGGAATGCTTGCACATTATTTCACGATTATTGGGAAACAAATGAGCTTTGCTCGAAGGCACAGCCTCACCTACGACGAAATCTATCACTACACAACCACTCTACAATACTACGCAGTTTTAACGACCAAGAATATTGCAGTATACAACATTAAAATACAACGCACCGTGTCATGAATGAACAGACCATTAAGCAGATGACGTCCGACGCTCCTTGTTACGTGTCTGTTGCAACAGAGAGTATAGGAAGAGGCATTCAAACAGAACTGCCGATCGCTTCAAGTTTTTCTTGAATATTTTGAGATAATCTGCGGTGTGACCTCGGAATTAAAAAAAAACCGTCTCATCCCCTCATGGGAGGCTTAGGCCCGGCCACCTAAACCTGCTGCTTTCTAATAATAAAGCTTATTCATCTTCCTCCTCCAGCCTTAAGGGGCCCCTAAAGAACCTAAAAATACCAAAGCTAAGCGCTTTTAGCCTGGAGTTTCCTATTACTGCCGCACAATTCGTGACTTAAGGAGCTTGCTTACGTGACGTCAGGATGAAATAGGTTTTTGATTGGTCAACTCACGAGAGAAATATGTTGTGAATTGTCAGCTATCCTGCTTTGGCATACCACAGACTGCGAGATGGCAGACGTGCTTGGTTCAACTGGGCCCCGCTAGATGGCATGACCTGTCCAGTTTAACCAGGTGAAAATTGAACATTTAAACCACTAGCGCCATTCCTCATAGGAACGTCCAATGGTTCTTTTTTTTGATGAATAAAACAGAAACTTTACCGAAACAGAAACAGCATCTTATTACGTTTCTTGATGCCTAGAAGGTTCTTTCTTTAGTGCAGCTAGTTCGATTAATAGTGAATAACTTTATGCGGTACTTTTGACGTAATCAGGACCATTTTACGAATCTCCTATTGTAGCGTATGTGTTGTGTGCATTTACCTTAATTTATCGCTATGTAGGGCACTACTTTGATAATATTGTCGTTTTAGACGTCATTCATTGAGGTCTTCCTCTCACATAAATTGTTGTTTGACTTAATATCCTTTTAAGATCAAATATCTGAATGGCTTGACAGTTAAGTATTGCGTAATTAACATTCTAAATGCCCGCTTTTCTTTCAGCGTGTACCGGTGCTCAGTACTCCTGAGCTGTTTGGTACTACTGAAATAGCAGCTGCGTTCGATAGGTTTCAGAACCCATGTTCATTTCTGGATTTTATATTGTATATGAGCAAAAATAAAGCAAACATTTATTTTAACAAAACGGCTCCCATGGCAAGATGTGTCTTCCCCCTTGTGATATTTTTCCCCTAAATTATGCCACTGGAAGGGAACACTGCCGAATACTGCACCTGAACAGACTTGGGCATGCCGAAGACGCTGCGAAATATGGGCAAGATGATGGTCTGATACTCGTCCACGGTGCTCTCCTCGATGATGAAGAGTAGCGGCTGCAGGGCAGCCGCCAGAACTTCAGGAGATTGCAGCTCCATCTTGAGTGAGGGCAGCACATGCTGCCACCAGAGTTTCTGCCAGAAAAAAAGAAAAGGAGATGCATCCTGAAAATTATATGGCACTAGAGGTGGACGGGGGCCTCAACGGTGGGTGTGTCGGGAAAGTTCAAAGAACTGGGACAGATAGATGGCGCCACTATTACTTGCTGAAGGCCTGACCACATGTAGCCGTCCCAGCGCGTCGGGGCGTGAGTTTGACGCGGCATTGCGCCCTCTCCCTATAAAGAAAGAGAACGCGCAACTTCGCGTAGCCTTGCATGCGCTCTCTCTCTCGCTCTCTCACTCTCTCTCTCTCTTTGTAAGGAGAGAATGCAACGCCGCGTCAGAAAGCCACGAGCTGCGCCGGGTACGTGTGGTCAGGCCCTTATAGAGAGGTGACACAGTCAAGTTTCGGCTTTTCTCAGTTCGAACTGCTCTATGGTCGGCACATTAGAGGTCCGATGTCTATACTGAAAGAATTACGGTGGCACCGTGTAACCACGATCTTATTTGCCATCACTTAGTGCTCGGTGGTCGACGTTGACGCTTTTGCTCTATTTACACGTGACAATGGCAACTAAGAGGACAAAGATAAGAGATCAACATAACAATGATGATGAAAAAAAAATTGTTCCATAAGAAAGCGTTAACAGTGCGTATATATACCGTCTGCTTCATGAAACGCGTGTGGAATACTTTAAAGGTCATGAGTGGCTGCGCGCTAGCTTCGTCCTGTTCGAATTCCGCTGCGCTCTCACAAAACGCACGCCAACTTATCCGGCGTAAAGTACAAAAATCATGATGGGAGAGTCAGTAACTTGTCTACGGCGGTGAAATCACGTAACACTGAGTGATAATTAGTCACGTGGCGAAAGTAACGTAACATCAATTAATCACCAGTCACGTGACTAGAATTACGTAAGATCAACTAATAGACAAATAACGTAAGAAAACTCACGCAACGTTTAGTGATGTGAACAAAAATCTCGAGACATCACGTAACAACTGGTCCCGCGGCTAAAATTCACGTAAGAGTCCTCACGTCACTGAAATCACATAATGCGACACGACTAATCACGTGACCAGAATTATGCACCATCACGTACCTCCTCGCATGACTTAAAAATCACACAGCATCACGCAACATCTAGTCGCTTGAATAAAATCTTGAAACACCACGTAGCAACTGCATGGCGTCGTGGCTAAAGTTAACGTAACACTCACGTGGCTGAAATCACGTAACTAGTGACGTAACCAGAATCATGGAACGTTGCCCAACCACTCACGTGACTGAAGATCCCGTAACATCACGCAACGTTTAGTCACGTGGTGGAGAGTCCCATAACATTTAGTCACGTGGCTAAAAAATTACCCAGAATCGCGTACAAGCTCGTCACGTCACACGTTCACGCCAGGAACCACGCAACAGATTGTCACGCTACTAAAATTACAGCATCAAGTAAGAGTTTGTCACGTGCTATGTATAGTCAAGTCCATCCATACTTAGCACTACAACCAAAAACTTAAAAACTCCAGACATAGCTTGACATTACTAGCAAAACTTAGCTCTCTTGTACTCTAGCACCACTAATGATTCCAGCGTTGTGACACTCGCTAAGTTGTGCACTTTTTTTATCCACTTTTGTTTCTTTCGTTCTGAGGCTATGATTACTACAATACATTTGAAAACTACAAACATTTTCTCCTACGTGTCGCTTGGCTTCATTGTCTCTTGGTTTATATATGCTGTGCCAAAAAAAAAAAAAGAACGAGCTCTTGGATGCATTCCCTCTATCGTTCTACCATACCTAGTGCTGCTGTATTGACTGATACTGTTGTGACCACATGCTCTGAAACTGTTTTAAGGAGCCAAGCTCTTTCGGCCCGCACCCCAGCGTTGCCATCTCATTTGCCATCGAAGCTCCCCGCCACATCACAGCCGCATCGCTACTCACCCCTCTCCCACCTGTCTCCCTCGTTATTCTCTGCCCTCTCCCCTCGATCTGACGAACGCTTTGCCAGGGCTGGCTCGCGCTGCGCTGGGCGCGTCGCACACTCACTAGCTGAGTCGTTCTCGCCACTGAGTGCAGCAGACGCTCTCCCCACCCGCTCCCCAACCACTCCCCACTCTACCGCCTTCCAGAAAGCCAGCAGCGAGATGAGGCGTGCAGTCGTTTGCGCCCTGTTTCTCAGGAGCTTTTCTCATTGGTTGTATTGGTACATGTGACAACTGCAACTTTTTCTATTCCCCGTTATTTTTGTCGCAATTCGGCATAACATAGTTAACCACTAGTGACAATATGGAAAGTGTCTTCCTACCTTTGGTATGTTTGGCAGCGCCGTCTTGAGGTTGTGGTAAAAGTGGGATTTATGCGTCGAGTCTTTCATCTGGATTACGTCCAGGTACTGTAGTCCGTGCACAGCTGGGTCCATGAAGTACTTGATCTGCGTGGACGCATGAGGATATGAATACAAAAGTTCCATAAAAAAACACTGTTTGCGTGGTACAAAATCCTCTACAGCCCCACCGCGGTAGTCTAGTGGCTAAGATACTCGGCTGCTGACCCGCAGGTTGCGGCATTGGATTCCGGCTGTGGTGGTTGCATTTTCAATGGAGGCGAAAATGCTGTAGGCCTGTGTGCTCAGATTTGGGTACACGTTAAAAAACCCAAGGTGGTCGAGATTTTCGGAGCCTTCGACTACGGCGTTCCTCATAATCATATGGTAATTTCGTGACGTTAAACTCTGCATATCAATCAATCAATCATTCATTCAATCAATCCATCAAATGATCAATCAATCAATCAAACAATCGAAATCATTTACTAGGCTTACGCCAGCACAGATAAGTGTTTGTATGAGTTCTTGACTCAGTGCTGAGGTCTAGTATTCTCCAGGTCACCCAGTAACAAGTTCCCTGGTACTAATATTGTGAGCTCGTTCTTTACAGAACTGACAAAATGGAGTTACAAGTTTTTAGGATGAGTAGTACAAAAAATATGACACTCATGGTAGACTGCAATAGTTTATCATGTTCCGTCATCATTAAGTACGCTCCTTCGCACCAAATGAGGTCACTATGTCATCACCATTACTACTTTGATGTGCAGTAGGCCCTATGTGTTATGACTTTTTGATAATCAGAATAGGTGATTTTTGCGTAAGTTATTGAATATGCTCCCTATTTTATCACTTTCTGAGATGTATGCCGCCTATGTAAAAATAGTGAGACTTTTGCGACATTTTTGTGCACATATATAGGCACGAAGTTCTTTGTTTTGTTTTACTGTTACAGTTTGACTTCACAGCAAGCTACATCGACGAATTAACGTAAGTGCATCTAGTCCTGTTTCATGCCGACATTGCAAAGGCTACTTGTTAGACGTGCAGTCTATTAATACTTGTTTGTAACTGTTAGTTTATCACCGTTCTAGTTGAATATTCATAAGCACAATTCAGCAAACCATGTTTTCCTAGAGAACTTGAAAAAGTAAACTGTGGAGGTCCGCTGCAGATGCAGGAACTAAAAATTTTAATGTTTTTTTAGTTGGAGAGCGCGATACGCTGATGCTGCACCCCCTGCCATATTCTGTCTGCAAAACTTGCTCGAAATTGAGCCTAGAACAATGAAAATCAGCTTTATCCATTCAGCCTAAAACACCAAACTCCGCTCTAACTTGAAGTCTAAAGTGTCTCCCAAGAGCTAGTTGACTTAAACCGACGAGTCGGGCGTTTCTAATGCGGCACGCTCGAGTATAATTTAGAGATGGCTCCATCTCTGATCTTTGTTGATCTTTGTTGTTCTTTACTTCTCAAGGGAATTTAATGCGCCTACGGGAGCGTGACTCCGAATCAGCGCGCGCGCACGCACGCACGCACGCACGCACGCACGCACACACACACACACACACACACACACACACACCACACACACACACACACACACACACACACACACACACACACACACACACACACACACACACACACACACACACACACACACACACACACACACACACACACACACACACACACACACACACACACACACACACACACAAACGCTTGGATTTGTCTGGCCTATCGCGTAAATTCATGAGAATGCGGCACTCAAGCATGCATACTGAGTTCTGCGCTCGCATGCTCCTGGCTTCGATTAGAAACTCATTCGGCCGTATAAGATAGCGTTATAGCGCGGAAACGCTCGAATTCCCAAGGATTACGATGCGTTCGTGACTTCTTCCGAGCAGGGCACTCAGGCGCTGAGGGAACAACCGCCCCGCCTCCACTAACCCCATGCCCTGACCATGATCCCCAGGGTTGTCAATTCCCCGACCTTGGAGGACTGCAGACACTGAAAATGGTATTGCGTATGCATGCTTTAGCGTTTGCGTGCGTGCGCGTTTGTTTGTTTATGTGCGTGTGTGTCTGCAAGTGTGCGTGCATGGACGTATGTATTTATGCGTGTGGGTTTCCATGGGGAAGTGCGCGTGCGAATGTGTTCGTGTGGGCACGAAAGTTCCGTACATCAAAGTTCATAACTCCTTCAATGTCTGCTCGTAGAAAAATGTGTTGTGGGCACTTACACGTATGACTTAACAAATAATCACACAGTATAGAAAGAAGAAAAGCTGAGATGGGCGTAGAGAATTCCCTTTGCAAGTCGATACCAACTAAGTCGAAGGAAGTAATGCAAAAACAGACACAGAAGCATCATCAGCAAGCGCACGGAACATTATTAAGGGGTCACCTAATAATACCCAGTCTATAGATGCTACCGCCAGCGCTAATGAGTGCTGAGCAGCGTTTCTTTGTCTTCGTCAACTAACAGAGTGAGTCTAGGGATTTCGTAGGAGATCAACTTCAGAGAGGGACGATGTCGGGTCTCATGACGTCCGGCGTGCTCTCGCCAGAGCTGTGGATGCCAGGCATATGCATCCACAGCTCTGGCGTGGATGCCAGGCATATGCATCTGCCTGGCATATGTGGATGCCAGGCATATGTCCAAAAAGGCACCATTTTCAACAAAGCTTCAAGGATGCTCACACACGACTTCTAGGAATGAAACAAGTCTGCGTTCGACCCTTACTCGGCTAAATTTCATTAAGGTGTGAGCCTTAAACGCCTCATGAAACGCGAAAATTTACCACGGATGCTGTCAACAGGAGGTATGGAAGAAAGCACCATCAAACGTTCACGTCACCAGATGGGATCACAAATGGCCAAAGTGTGTGACGTCATCACAAGTTCACTTCGACGTAACGTGAAGTCATACTGCCAACTGTGACGTCATCGCGTAACCTCATTGATCGATCAAAGGGAGGCCAACCACGGAGGCAGCATGAGGCAGTGCGAAATCAGAAGAAGTGCCATAAGCTTGAAATGCCTTCGATCTCAGAGGCAAGGCCCAATTAGATTAGCTGCACCAAGCTTCTTCAGGAAGGTGGCAAAGAATGAATACAGCCACTGAGGACAAAAAAAAATATCGCTTTTGGCTTCGATTATGTTCTTAGGCTAATGCATAGAAGTTACTGTGAGACTTCCAGCTGTGAGTCTTCCAGCTAAGCTTAAATAAGAGCTTGGTCAGCCTAAATTACCTCTTCATCGTCGCCCTCTATTAAACATGAACCATGCAACCATCTTGTTGGTTGGCACGTACTGGGTACGATTCCCGAACAGAACCAAGCTTACTTTTTTTTTCCTTTTTTAAGTCAGTTATTTCTCTTCGCTTGCAAAAGCTGTGATGTAATATTTGCAGTCGATGCGATCGTTTCGACCTGCTCCAGAATGTTAAGTTTTCCACAGATTGAGACGACTTTATAGACGAGAAGCTTCTTATGGTTGAGCTCAAGCCGGTGCGCGGCATTACTACCCCATAGAGTTTCTCACAAATACCTAGAGGGAAGTGTAGTGCCACCGGCTATGCAAATTTCTTAATGGGTGATGTTGGAGCGCTGGGAATGATGGTATATGTGTATGCGAGGCTTGTGTTGGCTGGTGTTGAGCGACGCTTCGGCTCAAAAGCAAATACGACTGCGTAAATGAAGCTTCTCTAAAACAAAACGTTCATAAGTGGATCTCATTCACGTGTATTACACTTTATAAGAAAAGTGCACTAACCTTGATGGCACAACCAAACGGCGAAGGAAAAAAAAACAGATGATATAAACGTGGCCGAAATAACGCTCGCAATGTCGTCTGCCTGCCAAGTTTAGCAGCCGTTGATTACTTCTTACGCTTCGTAAAATTGCACATACGTAGAAGTTTCTAATGTTAAATACAACACTTTTTTGTGCAGTGACAAAAATAAATAGCCTAGTATGTGTTTTTAGTAAGAAATCAATCATTTCAACGTTAAGCCAGACAAGTAGTTGAGGTATACAAATCTGAGTCAAGTTGGAAGCTCACGTATCCCGTCATTGGCTGTGTTCTAGTACTCACTGTAGACGGCTAAATAGACATGCTAAATGGACGTCGGCCATCTTAAGTTCCATTCTAATTTACACGTAGCCGGAAAAATAGACACCTCCGAGGAGACCGCATCGTTGACAAATACGATGCAGGCTACTTTGCTGTCTAAGCAAGACGGCGGCTCAGCGAATCGCTCAGATCGATCAAATCTCGCCGGAATCGTCGTCTGCACGCAAGCAGACACTTTCCCAGACGCTCACTCAATGTGAGTAACGTTTTTTTTGTTTTTTATTTCAACACGAAACTAAGCCAGGAAATACAACTGTTGCATTTGTATATTTTAGCTTTTTCTTCTCGACGCGAGGTGGCGTATTGTCGCGTAAAGCCGTCTAAATGTGTTCCATTTCTCGCACAGCACGTGCTCGATGCTGTCTTCTAAGCAGTCTTCGTAGACTGTCTACGTGCTGTTTTAGAATTGGAGCACAGCCATTTTCTTGCATCTAGCAGCTCACCAGCGCCAGATTTCCCTCTAGGTATGATTGTGAGAAACTCTATGACCTACCCTTACTGCGCATCTGTGTCCCCTCGCCCTCTCTCTTCTCTCCCGCACACTCCCTCTCTAACTTCGCGACGCCGACGCTGGCAGCGTCCGGTAGTCTACGCTCGCCCCCCTCTCTCTTTTAGGCATCCAGCCCCGCCTCGCTTACACATCCGATTGCGCATGCACTCCAGTTTTACGAGTACTTTACGCCACACATGGTCAGCTGATCAAACATTATAGTTACGGTCATTCAGTCATGTGATTATTCTTGCATTACAACCAGCAAGAAAAAAATACCATGTAAGCCGGAGATTTTGTTGTAGAGCTGTTAGACAGAGTTCATCATCATCAGCTTTTACTAAAACCTTAAAAGAATATACAAGGCATTACATAGTGGGGAGAAATAAATATATTTTGGACATGTCGTAATACAAATGTAGATGGGCATCAATTAGAGATCAGAAGCGAATCCGTGAATTCTTTGCTTTAT